TTGCAGTTATTAACTTATTTTGTTCCCTGGGACACAGGGATCCTTTTCCCACAGCATGTGGCTGCTGCAGATAAAGGCTCAGTGACAGAAGCCAGCTTGAACCTGTCACCCTTCATTGTGCCGTCAATCTTAGATTTGTTTATGAATATTGAAGCGATTTGCTCAATTATTCTCAGACTTTTTGTTTGACAATTTGATACAATAAGCAATCACAAACATGAACCAAAAACACTCTCACAAATGGTACAAATCTAATATTTCTACCATATATGAACCAGAAACTGTTGAAGTCTCACTTTCCATCAAATCATCATCATTTTTTTTAAATGACTAAATCATTTCTACAATCCTGAGATTATTTTGTCGTCAAGCTACGGCTGCTGTTTACAGAATGAGCTCGCATGTTGTGTTCACTCACCCACAGAGCGGTGGATGCATGTATGCTGGTTGTCACTAAGGAAGAAGCCCTCTTTGCAGCGGCATTCATAGCTGCCCATGGTGTTGACACAAGTGTGTTGGCACCCGCCATTGTTGAACTTGCATTCATCCACATCTACAAAACAGGGGATAAGTTCATTTCATTAGCAGTGTTAACAAAACAAATGTGTGTACTATTCTCGACTTAGCTATTACCCTATGCAACAATTGTGGTTTGTTTTTTGTCCAACAATGCAGATAATAACACATAAATATTCAGAACTAGTTTAAATCACTGCATGAATCAAACAAAAGGTATTGCAGAGTCAAGTCAAACTAAGTGGACTTAAGAAGAGTAGGCTGTGTGACTGTGAGAAACTACACATAGAGCCAACATAAACTTGAACTCTTCACCATCAGAGCAAATGATTAATCACAAAAGTTTATTTTACTCGATCCTTTAAAGCTGATCTTACCGAGACAGTTATGTCCGTCATGTGCCAAATTAAATCCATCATAACAAGTGCAGCGATAATTGCCTGGTATATTGTTGCACTCATGTACACAGCCACCATTGTACTCCAAGTCACATTCATCAGTGTCTGAAAGTAAACAACATATGAGCAAATGTCCACCCACTGATCAGAAAATGTAAATGCAAAACATTTTGGTCTTCAATAACTTGAGAGCACTCGGCAAACGTGTGTATATCCTACATTTATACAGGGAAATAAATGAGGTCAGATTATATAGGTCAACAAATGGAAAACACTTACCTTCGCAGTGTTTTCCGTCTCCTTTAAAGCCTGCTTTACACGTGCATTTGTATGAGCCTTGAGTAGTCTGACATATAGCATCAATGTGACAGCCATCACTTCCCTCTGCACATGGATCTACTGAAATCCCAAAGGGTCTTTTAGGTCATAAACACCAGGAAACATTCACATATTCCAATACATCAAATAGTACGACATTCAAAGATGCACTGTCTACATTTGTTGTTTGTTGTAAGTAAACACTAAAGAGGGTAAGCCTATAACTGACGCACAACAATAAAAACGAGCCTAATGAAAAGAGTAGCCCACAGCGGGATATTTGAAAAACCCCAGTATAAACTAACTAATGAGTGTTAATGCAATTTACTTACGATACAAAAATTGTTTTACAAACACATAGCCATTAGTTAATTATTTCCACAGGCATGTCTTAAAGAGCCCAAAAAAATGAGGTAAAGATTTTTTTTTTTTTTTTAAAGGCACCACTCGGACCGGGGAAACAACATAAACGCACTCTGTAAAGCGTGCGTAAAGTAGCACTCTCCATGACTGGAAAACACAACACACACACACACACAGACACACACACACACACATGAACACACACTCACTACAGTCCCACCTCGAATCTCTGGAAGAGCTGCGCTTTGGCGGCTATTTAACAAGAGCAAAAACAAACAGAAGTCCCTCGCAGCCCAAATAGCTCCCATGGTGATATGATCCAAGTTTAGAGGTCTTCTCAAAAGGACGCGTACGCACTGAAGTCGTGACCGAGCGTCCGCCTCATTTTCATTCTAGCCTGTCAATCTGTTTCACAAGGGGCTTTTGAAAAGAGAAAGGAGTAAGTGAGGGAGTGCGTGCGTTTGTGTGTTGTGTGTGTGTGTGTGTGTGTGTTGGAGAGGGCGAGAATGAGTGTGTGCGCGCGCGTACACGTAGAAAAAAACTCTTTTGAAGCAGAGCTGCGTCAAGTCAGCCAAATAACCAATGCCAAACCGGAAGTAAAGCTACTTTATGTTCAGCGTTACATTAAGATTACGCCAAAAGGACTTTTATTTTGACAGCGCGGAACAGAAAATCCCTTGGAAAAACTCTCAAACCTTTGAGGTCTGTTTTGATGCCGAACATGTCACACGTCTGAGGTAAAAAGAAAAAGAAAAGAAAAAAAAAAGACTGAATAAATATGTTACAAAGTTGCAATTAGCGTTATACACAAATGCTGATAACTTAGTCATCTACTGGCTAACAAAATAGCCCTGAAAGAGAACATGACAAACAATGTGGTTGCTAAGCAACGTTCCAATTGACAATGTTTTCACAGTGTTTTAAATTGAGGTCTGCATTATTATTATTATTATTATTATTATTATTATTATTATTATTATTATTATTATTATTATCATGGTATTTCGGTGGAAGAATATGGTAGGCCAACTAAAATGCTTGGTTATGTTTCACACAGGGATCACTCTTAATTCCGGTATACGTTTTAATATCTTTAAAAAAAAGTAAGTTTCCCTAAATAATCTTTAACATAATCATTAAAGATAAAATAGGCAATCAAAAAATAGAAGTGAATACTTTTTTAAGATCACACTGACAGAAGGCTACAGCGCCTCACAAACCTCCATTTTTGTAGCTTTCATCAATCTAAACAATTTTACAGTTTCTTGTCTACAGACGATCAGAGAAACATTGGTAGGTCTGAGAGAGGGACAGTATTTTTATTATTATTATAATTATTATTATTAATATAATTAATATCATCATCATTAATATGCTTATCGTCAGCATCGTGGATATAATCAACATCAGAAACATCCTCAAAATCATCATCATCAACAACATTGTCAACGTCATAAATATCATCAGCGTCAAAATACAATCGTTGAGTTCATCAGTGTAAGCTACATGAAAGATCTGGATGTATTTAAAATAGTCTGAAGACCAGTGACACTGCTGCGTTTTCAATTATCTGCAGAGGATTGTAGGCCTGTGTGTTTGCAGGGAGACCTGCCAATAGGTTGCAGTATGCCTTAAATACTATTATTGTGTTTTCATGTTTATTAATTGTAGTTAAGACAAGTAGCACCAAAATGGATTTACAGAGCAATACAATTCAAAACAAATGATTGAAAAATATTGGCACATTTAAAACTCTAAATTTCCCCAACTGCGTTTTTTTGTAAAATGTTAGAATTTGTACGGAGCTCTACTTCAAAGATTCAAATAGACAGTTTATGGATGTTTTCCGTCTTTCCCAACTCTGTACATTAGGTAGGCTACAATAGGCAGAACATCTGATAATATTCAGAAATTATATCTCTATGTTGAAAAGTTTTAAGTTGAATAATTCTTGGAATTTACCCTGGTGTGAAGAAAAACAATAGTAAAACTTTACTTCTTACAGGTTGGAAGTGGTGAGGCAACAATGCCACCTTGTGTCTAAGAGGTGTCATTAACATCCAAGTTATGTCGGCATGTCAAGCCAAAAAGAAATCAGTCTAATACAACTGTTTTGACCTGGATTTAATCTGCATTAAGATACAATTTGTTGTTTTCACACCCTTTCTTAGTGTCAATGATTTAGTTGTAAGAGCCGTTTGTTATAGGCCTATACAATAACTAATGAGCGTTAGATAGATAGATAGATAGATAGATAGATAGATAGATAGATAGATAGATAGATAGATACTTTATTGATCCCGAGGAAAATTCGTTAGTATGTAAATATGACATGAATAATCGACCTAACTTACATGTCATACATTTCAAGGAGTGTTACCTGTCTACTCAGTGTTCTCATTTGTCCAGGTCATGGTAAATCAAAGGCAGATCAAAAGGCAACTGGTGTAAAGCAGAGAACGGGAGTGTTATCACCCTTGCTGTTCTATTAGGTAAACTCTGCAATTAAACAAAAAACAATGACCCTGCAGAAAAAGTGCATGCCCAATAGCATGTACGTATTTCAAATACCAACAGGTCAGCATTGTATAATTACTATCTGGCATGATAGAACAACAATTTGTTCAAGCGTTTCCACTCCTTATTTCAGGGTAGAAAATGTGACTTATTCAAGAGTTAAATGCAGAATTCAACACTTTTCCAGTGCAAATTTTTTTTGTGTCCATATTAAATAACATTCAAAGTATTTCAAAGCACTCTGCAGCTTCAGTCCAGTATTGATGGTTAACAAAGGCTGGACTCCAATGCTTCAGAGACTCACTTTACCTCTTCCTTGCAGATGGATCAAAAGCTTGCTCTCAGGAAATGCTATTTAAGTTAAATTAAATAAAAGCAATAAAGTAAAGAAAAAAAAAAGAGTAAATGAAGATAAAAGATGAGTCCTCGTGGTTCAATGAACAGAGGACATTTTTTTAAAGACTAATATGTATTTGGGTAGTTTTCAATTTTTAATTTCACATTTATTTATTTTAGTCCTTTTGACACATACGGAAGATCCATTAGATAATCCACTTACTATTCTGACTGATATCAAGCAAGAGGGACGTTCATGGAATGTAATTTACAATGTGCCTCAAAATGGACTTGAGGCCAGTCCTATCATTCAAACCCTGAACACTTAAAGCTTTGCAGTGAAGAGTATTTGCTAACAGATGATAAACTATATATAGTGTGCAACAGCAATATAGCTGTCTCTTATTAGAACCCCAATCTATAAATGTCCTCTAAAGTCAAACAGAGAGAAGTAATTTTACCAAACTCCTCCACAGAAGTGAGTTCAATCTTCATAAACTGCCACCTCTGACTCACTTGCACAACCTACTGTTGGAGTAACAAACATTACACTTATTTTTCTCACTTTTTTATTACAATACAGTTCTACTTTGTGGTACAGTATACAAAAAAAGCATTAAACATCTACATGGCATGTTCAAAGGAAGTGAACAAAATGAATAACAGTCTTTCGGAAAGTCTCTACACCAAATATCACAAAAAATCTGTTAAAAAAGTTTTGCAATAAATAAGTATAAATTACATGATAATCATAGAGAAAATGTCAGGTAATTCATTAAGGCACATCTCACATCCCAAAATGTACCTCGCAAAAAACAATATGGCAACTCCCTAAGGACAAAAAAAAGCTTATTTTCCAGCTTCAAAAAGAGGGAGCAGCATTTCTCCTGTTAGTATGAATCATACATGCATTCAGCTACCCTGCCGCAGAAAGAAAAGTTAATATATTACGCAACTTCACAGATCATTGCCTGTCAATTCATTAAGTCTCAGACAGTAATAAAAAAAAAACATAACCGTTGTCACTGCAGTGTTAATTTAAGAGACACGATGCATCATGGCTTAAACTGTGCAATTAAGTATTATTTCAACACGACAAACATAAGAAATATCTTGAGACAATTATGAACTGATATTGGGAAAATTATTGCTGATAAAATGGATGCTTTTTTACAAGCCAATTTGGTTAAATAAGGACCAATCACTTCACAATGTATTAGTAAAATGATAGCCCTGAACACTTCTCACATTCAAAGTGTCTGCATAGTTTGAACTGTGACAGTTTTTGAAGATAAATCATAGCACTGGCATTCACAAAAACACTTCCAACAACATACATAGTAACCGTAAAACACATGTCACACGTTTTCTAAATGCTCAGCTTACGTCCATTACATGCCATTAAACAGATAAGGATGCTGCAATACAGCAGCTAGCTTTCCCTGCAATTTACACACATTTCTGAACAGGTTCCAGATATGCACACCTGTAGAGAAATATCCTGAAATAAATGAGATGTGAAAATGTGCTGAATATTACTGGTCTAATGAGAAAGTAAATGTCTTGGAGCACACAAAACATTTTTCTACAGAAGTAGTGGTTTGCCATTGTGTTATGTAGAAATGGTTTGATGTAAAAAACTGCATTCACAAAAAAAAAATCATTTGCTTTACAACATGCATTATTTCATTGGAGACTGTACAAAGAAATAAATAAATTACTTATGTTATTTTGAAAAGCAGAGGAATGTACTGCATGCATAGTGTGTCAAACTTGACGCATGCTTAAGCTGTGACAATGTCAGAGATTATGGGTTCTTTTCCAGACACACACAATAAAAGCTCATTAAGTTCATAGAAAACTGTTGTGCTGATCATCTCTGGTTTAAACTAAAGCCATTTGTGTTCTAAAACAATCCTACATATTCAAAAATGTGCACATATGGCACCAACAAGAGAGCATTTCAGTGACGTGTTGAACAGCCTCTCCAACACACATACAAAAAGCTGGTATTAGAAAAAGCTGGTCTCTTTCATATGCACTCTTACAATTAGTAAATACAAAATAAAAAAGGTAAACAGTCCTGATATGTATAAAAAAGGTGACAAAATATTTACAAATCATCACTAATTACAAAACGTAAAAAAAAGTAGATTCAGAAACGGAGTGGCAACAAAATTCCTTATCCTATAAATAACACTAATGCCCATGATATTTTTTTCATTTTGCTTTATATAAAAAAGAAATCAACTCTATACAAAAGTTAAAAAATACCCATATGAAAAGGAATTTAACAAAGGAACATCTAACAGGTATAATTTGGGGATTGGAAATTCAGAGGTCTGCCACTGGAGACAAATCCATGTGGATGCCATGGATAACCCTACAGGGGAATTTACTAAAGCCATCACCATGTTTCTTTGATGTCTTCTGGGAGCTGCGCTGGAAGTGTGTCCGGAAGGTGTGCGGCCACTTTGGTGGACGCCAGTGTCTTCTGTTTTTTGGAACTGCAGCAGGGCTTGAAGAGTCGAGGATCAATAATCACTTCTCCAAACCGCCCCTTATAGACAATCCCACAGCACACCTTCTGCCTGGTTGGGAAAAACGGGCATATTTTAAATCAGTTTTTATTCATGTTTCAAGACATACATTTTGAAATACGTGATGTTATCAAAAGTTTTCAATGAGAGCAGAAACTTGCCTTTTCCAGTAAGATCGGTCCAAAAAAGAGAAGATCGAGGGAGTCGTGCGTCTTTGTTTTGACTCAATGTCTGAGCCGTCATCTGACAGGTTGCTGTAACTCGGGGACTGAGCAGGAGACACACTGGAGGTCGTACTGTGGGCATCTGAGTCTGCTTGGAAATCAAAGAGACGATTACATGCTGTCGTGGGTAAAATACTAAAATCTTAACAGTTACTGATCATTTGAGTGGAGAAGTGCCAATGAGAAGGGGACAATATAAAAGTATATATTTTAATAAAAACTACGTAGACTGACAGTAAGTCAACACAGAGTCTGGATTAGAACCAGAGGCATGCACTATGACTCAAATTTAACATACCCAGGATATCCTTTAGTTAACCTGCTTCATAAAGAGTAATGACTAGCTTTGAACAAGGTAGTCAAATTGCTGTAGTTATCCAATTTATAAGTCAACCTAGAGTTTTGTAATCTACATGAACACTTTCACATTAAAGAGAACTTTTTTTTTCAGCATATACATAGAAAGTATTGAGGCAGGAGAGAAACATCAATCAAAAAGAAAAATGGTAATAGGGTTGGGGTTAGGGGTTAGAGTTAAGTAAAAAGTAAAATCATTGGTATTGGTGCAAGACTAAATCTTAATATAAAAAATCTGAGCCTTTGATTATATTGTCGTGTTGCTTTCTATCAGTTGCTCCCTACCTAAACCAGGTTACCTGAGCTGGTAGGGTGTGTAGCGTATGTTATTATGACAGGATAACTGTGCCATAGAGTTACATCCTGACTTCAATCCTGCTTCTGGTACAGGCCTTTTATTGATTTAACTTAAAATTGGAAAAAATAAAAAAAACACGACAATTTTTTTTTGACACACGCCAGTTTCTTGTTATTTATTTGCCAACTTACTTTGTCTCTTTAACTTGTGAAGCTTCTTAAGCTTGCTTTTCCTCTTCCCATCACTGTTTTTAATCTTCTTGGGTTTTGTCATCTTGAAGCCTGGTCCAGCTCTGGCATCAACCACCTGAGTCAAGTCAGGAAAACCATCCAGTCAATTTAAAGTTAGAGCAGGACAATGAGACTGAGATATAATTCCTACTATTGTAAGCAGATATTACTTACATGGTTCCAGTTTTTCTTGGAGCCATTTGGTAGCTTCTTCCACCTCTTAACCAGTAACACACATGCATTACAAATGTCTCCAACACGATCTTCTGATAGCCTGAAAAATGAATGAAACGCACAATTGCTAAAGTTCCTGATAGTCATTTAAAATACTTGCGTTATGTACATATAAGCAATTCATAAGCACATTCATATGATACAAATACAGCAGATGAATGAATGAATGAGAGCTTCTTACCCAAAACACAGTCTGAACGTCTCCTCATATCGACTGCTGTCTGTGAACCGTGAACTGGAGGATTTGGTCTTGCAGATGCAACAGCCGTCGTTACTCCGGTATATCTTTGACTTGTGAAAGCCGAACATTTTGTTGTTCAGTGTTGTGAAAGAAACCTGTAAATCGACAACAAATGAAGGTTATTCTCCCAGTCTCCGTTACACGCACCGTGGATGTCTGCAGACAGTCGCTTACTACTACTACTACTACTACTACTACTAGAAAAGGGGGCGGTCCCAGTACGCACACATAAACACACACACAGGCAAATCTATCCCAACACTAAATTTTTAATACATATCGCACGAAACACACGGTTTGAGCAGAGAAGCTTTTTTTTTTTTTTTTAAGTGAACTGAATTGAAAACAGCAAGCCAATCTTTGGAAAATACAAAAAACATATTTTAACTATTGAAGCAAAGTTGCGGGAACAAGCAACACACAAAAACACATAATAATAATAATAATAATAATAATAATAATAATAATAATGTCCTAACCGGGTGATATTGATTAAACAAAGGGAGTGTTGAAGAGAAGTTAAATCTGATGCAGTAATACATGATGTTGTCTCCCGCACATTCAAACACTCAAACACCAATAAGCTTCACTATCGTTTACCGTGTTTTATTCTTACGTTTATGTCACTTTTAAATTAACTTTAAACCAATGTAAGTTGTTAGAAATCAACATAAGAAAGCAGTGAACACAGGGGCATGGGTCAGTCATTTGTTTACAGTGATTAGTCGACGCAGAAAGCGGGCAGCAGCAGCAGCAGCGCTTTTTTTTTTTTTTTTTTTTGAAGTGAAGAAACAAAAAGCTACCGGGCTCTCCGGTGAATTATGTGCAACCTTACATAACACACTGGTGCAAACTTTATGCAATTTTTATGCAAATGTTGTCCACATTTGAATGGCATTCAGAAAAAATTGCAATGAACGCATACCTTCCCTTTAAATTCAAACTTTCGCCCGCTAGAGCGCCAAATACGGTTCATTGTTGTTAGCTGTTAGCATGCTAGCTAACCGACTCTGCTACCATTACCACGCCACACTCTCGTTCACTTCCACGTTATCCTATTGTCAAGTGGGTTAGTCCTCGTACACACACAACGTCAGCTTACAACAATATCAAAACACAACCGGTCTTTCCACGCTAAACAAACAAGTACAATTTCACAAACGTAATTCCTGTGGAAGAGAATTAAAAGCGACTTACTGAACAAAACTTTGAATCTTCGCCGTATTCTTTTCACGCACTGCGCATGCTCTTACTACTAATGCATACAGCTGGCCATTAGAATACGATTAGCATAAAAAGCAGCAATGAAAGGAATATGCGTACAATGCCCATATAAGGAGTGCAGCAGTCGAGTTTGAACCGGGTTTCAACCAATGGGCGCTATCCTCGACCCCTCTTCAGAAGAGATGAATGATGGGAGGTGTAGTGAACGAGCGGGAAATATGTACGCCTTCAGTTTCAACGGCCTCTTTTTTTAAACTCAACATCCCATGAAGCACCTGGCCTCAGGCTTTAAAGAAAAACAGCCATTTGACATGGCGCGAACGGGTTTGTTGACATTTTCTCAGTTGAGAAGGCACATTGAGCGGAGATTATAAAGCTTTGTCTGTGCTTGGTACCGTGTGCACACCATGATCTACACTTACACTTGATTCACAACTGTTTAATGATGACTAACTGTGATTAACTTTTGAATTCGAGACATTTTTAATCCTCCGATATTTTTAAAATAATATTAATAGAGGAAATGTGAACAAAAATCTACAATTATTTTCATTATCAACCCATCTGGAAATGATTAACAGTGATCAATATAGGTAAAATTACTTAATTTGTGTGTACTTAATTTCACATAGACCTACTTGAAAAATTGTTTGTATTAATTAACTAATAATCCTGAAGCCAGGCTGACTGAAATGTCGTAGGCTATTAAAACCAATAATTATTTACATTTAAGAAGCCGAGTCTTGTGGATTTTTGAAGGACACATTTTCTAACCAGAGAAAGCCCATTCAGCAGAAAATAAAATAATATAAAAGAATGACTGGTCATCTATAAAAACAATTCAATTCACTCCAACCCATTACAGATGCTTTATTCTTAATATTTTTTTACACTGTACAGTGTTGCTCACTTAGTAAACACTACGTTACACAGCTATGTCAATAAATGTACAACAGTATTGGAAAACAAAAATATATATCTCCCAAGATGCTCATGTGTGGGTCGTACACAGACGAGTACAACACAGTCATTCCAGACGTTGTTGGCACAGAAAAGAAGTCCTTCACATATTTGATCTCTTGTTCTGCACAGTAAAGTTCAATGCATGTAACAGAGGAGGGCCTGGTAACATCCAAGACACCCCTATGTAGTTTGTAGAGGGTTGAAACTTGTGAATATTGCATAGCAAGAAACCATGATGAGAAAATCAGGATAGGGGGATGAGCTGTCCTCATATGGGAAACCAAGCAGACCATTCTGTATGAGGATCGACGCGACCACTCGTCTTTGTTCAGAGAACAGGGCAGATGTAGTGTTAGGGCTGGGATGATGGTAGGCAGAAACAGTTGGTTGGAGGTATTTACATGAAGGCTGTCAATTTGATCCACTTTGCACAGAAAGCCAGGTAAAGCATCTTCTGGAGGACTTGGGGTATTCTCCCTTATCCAACTGGATAAACTGTCCAACAGGCTTAAGCCACACAGTCAAAATCATGCAAAAAGGGTAATTTTTAGGTGTTAAATCTACAAGATCTGCAAACTGGTACATTTTTCAGGGAATTGGCCAAATGTAACAGCCTTTTTATTCATCTGTATGTGATTCATCTTCACACTACAAACTACCTGTCATACAGATACTTATAAAGCATACTTCTGCAAAAATTTGCTTCAAGCTCTGCGTAATGACATTGGAATCTGAGTTGACAACAGAGCAAGCAACTTGACTGATTTAACAAAATAATACTGTTTTTCTCTGAAAATATATATTAACAGTTTTGATCCTCACTTTCCCTTAAATATAGCCATTGTCAGCAGTCAGCACGATAACAATGAAAATATTTAGCTGTCAATAAAACATAGCACGAGTAGGTCATCGTCAATAATGTGAAAATCATGGGTCATAATAGAAAACGTTTTTAAAACATAATTTTAACATCTAATGGCAACATTGTCGAGGAAAAAAATAACATATCTTGAAAGGCTCATTGCACTTAATATATATGGCAAATGTAACAGTAGCTTTAATATAAGCCAGAAAATGTCCTTTGCTCAAGTGGGTTCCTGCATATAAAGGTTCAATTATTCTCTTTAGTGGTTCCCGGTGATGTTCCTTGGTTGGGTTTAGATACCAACTCCTTTGACAAGCGAAGCCTCCAGGGTGATGTTGAACTCCTGTAGAGTTTGTAATACTCTGATCAGAGAGTTTACCAATGAGCGGTCCTTAATCAGTGCAGTGTCCTCGTACATCTGAGTGGTGACTGGACAATCTGCGAGCAGAGCAATCCAGTGATGCAGTAAATGGTCCCTGAGAGAAGAACACACCGACACAATATTACACATTTCTGCACGTTTCAATTTTACAATAAAAGTATAAAAACTGGATTATGCAGTAAAAAAGTGAATTATAAAACTTTCAACAAATTAACTAATTGTTGCAGCACTTCTATAGTGTACTGAGATGTAATTAATAGAAATCGGTTAATAATAAACACATTTGTACATCAACATACAAACAACTGCATCAGTATACTGTACACTCATCACACAGACACAAAAACACAAAAACAGGGAGGAAGCACTGATGGAAACCAATCAAATATTTCATACATCAAGAATCCTCCAAGGAGAGATCATTTTCACTTGACTCATCGCAGGTCAGGATGCAGGGTCAGGAGGAGAGCAGTGCATCCAGGACTGATAGGTTGCTATGTTCTTATAGGGTTAGGGTTGTTCTTATAAAGGACTATTCAGCAGGAAGGATTCATTTGTATTCTTTGGGCTTAAGCTCGATTCATGTGCTAAAGAGTTTGCAGAGACTAAGCAGGCAGCCATAGCAATCACCGCTTCTAAATTGTAAATATACTACATGGCAGTGGATATACAGTATGAGGATACAGATTCTTTACGAGAGGAACAGAGTCAATACTCACCACTACAACCTATCAGCAGCTGAAATCTTATTTTTGCTATACAAGTTTCACTGCACTGAACCTGAAGACTGAATGTCCTTGTGAAACACAACAAATGTCCTCGACATCTAAATATGTCCTGATGGTAAGCTAGTGTTTTTTTTTCGACTCACCTCGCACCCAGACAGACGAGCATCTGGAACTTTCCGTCCTTGCCAATGTTTCTCGACGTGTTGTTGATGGCGCGCATAAAGCGGCAGAAATGGCGAACTCTGGTTTGCCAGTTTTCATCCGGAATAACCTCTCGCTGCTCTGCACCTTCAAAGTACACTTGTGACTTTTCTGTTGAAACAAAAAAGAATCAAAAGAAAGTTAGGTAGTAATACATTACACGGTATTATTTAGATGTTTATGAATGATAATTGACCCCAAATAGTGTTTCAAATAGACAAACAAAGTTTGAACAAAACATCCTCAACACAAGTTTAACCTTATTCATTGTTTCCACAACTTTTTTTAAATGGAGTAGTTGATGTAGTATTGATTTTACGTTAATTATATCCCAAACCAATCCTACTCAAAAACCCATTCACCTTTTTCCACCAGCATGATCTTTTACCAAACAATAGTAGTCGTAATCATTTATTTCGGTCACAAGAAAAAACAAAAACATTTTGACCGAAAAGGTGTATGCTGAAGCTTTAGCTTATTACACCTACCCTTGTTACAAATTGTATTATTTAAGACACTACTAGTTTGGTTACAAAAAACTGTAACAATGACATAAGCAGTGAATACTGCTGCAAGAGAACTTTTACTTTATGTTTGTTGAAGCATGAAAACAGGTCACTATTGGAGGCAAGTGTAGCTGGCTATGACTTCAACTGGCCAGGGTGGCTATTGTTCATGATGAAAAAAACTCTTACTTCTTCAGTACAGAGTCTGGTTGTTTGATAGCCAAACTCTTTACATTGTGGATGGAATATCATCAAAACGATATAAGAGATTTGAACGAGTTTTTACCCAAGAAATCCCAGATGAAGACATTCTTAAACAGTCTGGGTGATTTGAAACCGTGCTGGAAAACTTGCTCCAGGGCCCAGACGAGGCCATACTCCCCACAGAGGAGAAGAGTCAAACTGCCTCTCTGTGCAGGGCAAAAAAAGAAGGAAAACAAATGTGGTTAATTGAATTTATTTTAACAAATGAAAATAAAAAAATACAATTCTCAACAGCTTCTTAGATCCAGTTTCTAATATAAAGTAACTTCTTTACTGCCCTGTGTCTTGCAGAAAAAAAGACTAAGGTGCAAACTAACTGGTGAAATATTTACAAGACGCCGCTCTCTGGCTCCATAGGTCATTTTTTATACAGTAAGGAATCATTATAAGAGATAACACTGTTTACATCTGTGATGAACCAAACTGATCAAATGTTGCTGTGTTATCGGCATGTGAATCTAAGCATGTAAGCAAGCTATCATGTGTATGTTTGAAATACTTTACATGACATCAAAACACACAAGCATGCCATAGAAAACGTAATATAGCAGCACATATCTCAACATTGTGATAGCTCCAACTACAGAGTACATTTAAGGGACATTTTTTTATATAAGCAGCCTCTCTCCATTGTTCCATTAGTCCTGTAAAGAGGTGGAGCAGTAGTGAAGGGGATTTCCCATTCAAAGTCCTTTGTACTGTTAGGCTGGCTACACATTATTATTACTGCCTTGAGAGCAGAACAAATATCAAGTATCAGTCTGGACAAGAACACGATGATGAAGAATGATTTTTATTTCTGAAGACCAGAATAAGCTCTTCTCTCATACATTTAAACAATGTGAATAAACAAGTCGCTCCCCAGTTACTGAGGGGCTTTGGGACCACCAAAGCAGAAAGCTGCTTTTCTTTCATTTGTGATGAATAATGGAACTACATGTTGGGGCCTGTCTAGACTGCCGTCTCTCACCTCCTTCTCCGGTTTGTGGAAGTGCTTCACAATCCCATTGATGGCCTCTCCGACTCCCTCCTGGATCTGACCTGTTTAACTCTGCATGAGAAGAAAAAAGGGCAAACAAAGATGCTCTGAGATGATACGAGCAGACACAGGGAGAAAAACCTCCTCACTAGGTCTTATCTATTTATCACTCTGTCTTTTCTTATTCATGCGTTTACATTTTTGACAGTGAGGGTAATAAGAGCAAGACCTCAAGCATGAGTAAGTATAAAACAATTCAAACAAATATGTCTAAATGGCACTTTGACTTAGGAGTTGGTACTTATTATTATGTGCTTGAGTAACTTACTTGGTTTGCTGTTTGGCGAGATGGTGACAAACCTCCTCATCATCCCGGGTGATTGTTGCATGGGGGGAGTGCGGCACATCCTTTCATCGTTCTCTGTGCTGGGGGTCATCAGCTCTCCCACCAGGATCCTCTCCAGACTGCCGTCATCCACACCCTTCCCCAACCACCGGCCACATGGAAACCTGCACAACAACACACATTTCATTTATTTTTTGAGAACCAAACCGTCAAAATATGAGCAAAGTAGTTAGATGGTTCTCTAAAGAAACACTCACTTGTAAGTGTGTCCTGTGATCTCATTGCGGACCATGACAGACTCCACCAGCCACTTTGCGTAGAGCCCAGAATTATCATGACCCATCTGCACAGTGGTCAGCTTGCCCAGGTTCTGGCACTGAGATAGAGAAGAATGGTGACATCAGAACACACAAACCAAAAAAATAGCCTTGGAATTACTTCCATATGTTTTTTTTTTTGGACATGATTTGTTTCTATAACATGTTGCAGGAAGTGGAACTGGAAAAGGAAGATGAGCAGTCAGGTGATAACACAGCTTTTGTCTAAAGTTCGATCTAAAAGCAAACATGAAGAGTGGTGAATGACTACCTCAGCTGTCTAATAACATAGTTCAGTTCAGTTTACAGACAACGTTTAAGATGACCTCTAATGCGTACATGTACAACCATTCATGTGATGAGTCATTATTATTGACAATAAAGGTCTTAAACAAAAATGAGTATAGACAATCTGACTTAACTATTGTTTTTTTTAAACTAGTTTAATCTTGAACCTTCAGCAACAAAAGCACAAAGTTCCCTGTTTCCTCCTGAACTCAATTGGTCTCATGTTATTTAGGGGTTATTATCTATGCTCCTTGTATATTTTCATTTAATTATTTTTCATGAAGCATTTTCTTACATTT